TCCCCAACTTATGCCACATTTGTTTCGTCTTTTCTGTTCGAAATATCGTCCTAGAAGAAGATTCAAGATATCAGGGCGTGATACTCTGACTCCAAAAAGACTTTTAGTCGCTCCCAAGCATTCTCTGGATAACGAGGAGCAACTTTCGAAGGTATTGATATATATTTGGCTTGTGGATTTTATTTTTTACCTTTTGTAAATGTTTGCCTATTTTAGGCTAAGGTTTCGCCTTTGAGTGATTTTAATCAATATCTTGTTTTGAAGCGCCCAAAATTAAATTATCTTCTGAAACAGGATTATCTCTGCCATATGAATGATTCTTCCTTAAAAATACAATTTCCTCACTTAATTACCGTTTGCACTTTGTTTAGTTGTGTTTTTGATATTCGAAGTGCTCGTCTTAATCTCCTAAATATTTTAATCGTGGGTTTTGTGAACTAAAGTTGCCAGAATACCTTGGGTCAGAGATAACATAGCAGAGGTGAATGATACAAGCACATATTTAAGTATCAAGTGCTACGTGCGAGAAATTCAAGCTCGATTTAAGTTTTCGAGGTGGAGATATAATTTGGCATTGAGGCAGAATTCCATCAATTTTGGTTATGAGAATGTTGCATTGACGAGATATACTTACGGTGAAGGTCGGCTGTTGCGCTTATCCTCATAACCTACATGACTCCTATTTTACTTTGCCATGCTAGAAAAAAGACCTGAATAAATGTCTAAAATGATTTAATTCGTATATTCTCAAAATCTATAGCTCTTGACACCAATTATAATAGGGTATCTCTCATCTAGTGTTGGCTAAACTGCACAGACCGCATGATCTCTAAATCCAGTTTCTTTTATACCCCTTGGAATTAGCATGCCTTTACTGATAGGGAAGCCGTTTTAACGAAGTTAGCAAGTCTTATTGATTGCAACAACCTCCCCCCTTGATTTGTGCTTACCATTTACTAATGCTTCACTATTGTAGCACGAATTATGGTATGAAACATTAATGAGTTTCAAAATAGCACAGAATGAGAAGATTGGTGCAATCATTCATCACGTCTGCAGAAGAAATACTTAATCCTTACTAGCCACCATTAATACATAGTCTGTATAGCGACAATAATCTATGCTAATGGTACTTTATTGACTCAATGGGACAGTATATGGCCCCTCCGATTCCTCAATTACTAATATTGCATATTACTGCTACCTCAGATACTACTTGGCATTTTTATGGCACAACAAAATCTTTGAAACTCAACAGTAAGAAAGTATCTGCGTTGTGTGGTCCATTTAAGCAATGTCACAACTTCTAATCTCTATCGCCTACTTCGTATAATCCATGTTCTGTTTAGGATATTTCAAACCGTAGCTGTGCTTATGAGTCGATTTATATATTTTATTTAAAGCAGCCATTTGGCCCCTTTATGCCTGTACGTACCCCAATGGATCTTTTTTAGCTAAGCCGGTAGCCAGAGCCAGGCTCATACCTCTTATGTGGCCTATGCCTCATCATCAGTAGTCACCAAGATGTCTATCCGTGGCAAATGAACGGTGTAAATTATTATATTTTTACTGCTTACTAAAGCCCTTATTTCTTAAGTGAAATAATTATATTTAAAATACGGTTGGCCACAGCTTGATTGCTTGATTGCTCCTTGCATGTACTTCAAGGGGAAGACATTTTAGTAAATGATTGGAGTGTTAAAAACGATGGTAACCAATTATAGGTTTGATAAAATTTGGAATGGATAAATTCTCCGCACACATGCAACCTGAAAGCTGAGAAATTAATTTCAAAAGGCAAGGCTCTAACTGAAAAATTGTGTAATGCTTGGTAGCAAATTAGAAAAAATAAAGAGCTCAACCTAGTGCTTTGCTGTACCCAGCGATTAATATTCTTTAACTAATTCTTATTTCTCTAAAGACAAAGCTTTGTCTTTTCCTTCGTATCCCTTAGAAAATTTGCCTATTCCCGCGTGTCTCTCGCATTTCCCGATTAATTGCTGAGCACCTGCTCTCTGTCATTCATCGCTTCGCCTTGGATGACTTTATTTCTGCCTGGCGGGCTAGTCTGCCTGGTGCTTCACACTACTCAGTAGTCCGGCCTCGTTTGCATCGACATTTGCTCTGTCGAGGTCGGGCTATCTGTGAATCTCTTGTGAGTACTCCGACATCAGGTTGTGGTGGAGGAGCTGCAGCTTCAGCCACAACTCTTTCTCGATACTTCTTGCCTACCTATAGCAGCATTTCCGCCTTAGCCAGCGAGGACCTTGTCGATTCCAGCATGGAGGCCCGTATTCGAACCCTGTTCTCTCTGAAATCCTGCTGGCCAGAAGCAGAGTTAGCTGGCTACCTCGAAGACCTGGTTCCGCCACCTCCGGCCAAAGAACAATATGTGTTTATTCGTCCCAGATTTACTGACAACTGGGAATGTCCTTCCTCTGATGAATCAACCAGTGCCACTTCAACTGATATTGAATCACCAGCATCAGGAGACGAAGATTCTACTGATAGCAAACTTCGCTCTTCTCGTTCATCTAATCGGCAATTCAAGCAAATAGTTTACGATCAGCCTAAGCCGGTGAATCCTGCTATCGGTGCTATACTTGGACGCATTTGTAGAGCAAGCACGATCCAAAATGGGCAGCGTGTTTACACCGAAAAACATGCTAAGATGTTTTAATCACATACGTATATTCTCTCCACAGATTTCCAATATTTATTACTGTTTGCTACTACTTGATTCCTAACGCCATTTAAGGTGCCGCATTTTACAGCGCTTGTCTCGATATCAAGACTTAGTTATTTATTCTGTTTAGAATATTCCCTTCATATTGTAAGAAATTCAGCTATTGACGTTTTTATTTTAATGTCAATTAGTTTATGGCTTTTATCTTCTATTTTTATACTCGCTTAATTATCAAATCTTTTGTTCATTTTTTCACCTTACTATACCTTTTGCTGCAAGCTTACCTACATTTCACCCTTAGTCAACGCTTTGTTCGCCTCTTCATTAGCGAATTAAATTATCAATCACTGTGTTAGTCTTGCTTGTCATATACTACGTGGAAGGTGGTTGAATAACCTAGTTATAGTAAGCAACTTTGAATACGATATAAAAAAATTGCGTTGTATATTCATTCTGAGATTTTATCATTTAATATTATATTTTACTTACTCGTGTCCATTTCACCCTTAAATTGAACTGTTTGCTCTTAATTTTTACTTAGACGGAATATATATCTGAATTGAATGTTCCTTTGGTATTTGTCATAGCTAATTAATTTGACTTACATGCAAAATTATTCATTTGTAATAAAGATCCTCTGATGCTTATATATTCTCCACTTCTATCTCATTTTAAAATATTATGGAGAGTGCCATTCTTCGCCTTTAATGAATACTTGATTGTATCTAGCCTTTGATATTACGCGCACATTCAAAAAAGAAATAGTTAGGGACAATGAGCAAAGACACACTAATAAAACAGCCCAAATTAAACTTATGAAGAAAACTGGGTTCTAAAAAATTCCCTAGTGATAAATTGTGACGACTTTCCATTTCGAATGAAAAGTTGATTGGTCGTGATGTTGTCTGACCAGAAACCGAAGGAGGATTGTCGCGTAGAGAAGACTGTTGAATTGCGCGAAGTTATCTGCCCACCGCCCTGCGACCCGGATGAAACTGTGCTAAGCC